GGAGGTCCTAACAAGCACATAAATAAGATACAATATGTAATAGCAATAATGAAAGAGGTTAAGGATCTAAAGAAGAGAAATCTAATTGCCATTTTGCCAGCTGTAGGGTTAGCTACATGGGAGATCCAACACTATCTTGACAAACTGCTAGAACTAACAAAAGGAAGCAAATTTCCTAGATAAAAAAAAAACCTAAAAGAATTTTTCATGGAATTGGTCAGCTTATCATAAAAAAATTTGTGAAAGAGTAGAAGGCTAAAAAAAGCGAAGATACTTAAAAGATGATGGAGAAGATGATGGAGATCAGGATCACCATAACAAATACCAAGACTTGTAGTAAAACTGTATTAATTAAAACTATGTAGTATTGATGTAGAGATAAACACATATACTGATGAAATAGTGCAGAGAGCCCAGAAATAGATTCTGTATTTGCCATGTCATGTCTATGATGGATGTTGGATGTTAGTTAAGAAAGGAAGAGATATTCAGTGATGGTTCTGAATCAATTGGCTAATCATATGGCAAAAGATAAGATTAGATAGCCTCAGTGAATCGTACACAAAATACAATCCAGATGGGTAAAAGATTTAAAAGTTGGAAGTAACTTTACAATTTATAGAAGAAAATATCGGGTAATATATTTATGATAGAGAGAGGAAGAGTATACAAAAGTATAAGCCAGAAGAGATGACTAATAAAATTGACTACTTTAAAAACTAAAAGAAATGATTAATACATTTGACTGCTTTAAAATTGAAGCACTGTTTATCAAAAGACACCACAAAAAGAGTGAAAAAGCAACCCACATAAGCCTACCAGTAAAAAATAATTTAAAAAGGGAAAACAATACAGAAATGATTAAAGGAGAGAAATAGAAATTTTATGGAAGATAAATGGCAAGTAAACGCAAGAAACAATGCTCAGTCTCATTAGGAATTAACAAAATGCAAATTAAAAGTCATAAGATTGGTAAAAAATTTAAAAGTCAGGTAGAGTTAATAGTAGTAGAGGATATGAGAAATAGATCTAATATTCTGGGGGCATTAATATAAGTGATATTAGTACTTTGGAGAGCAACTTGGCAAGAGTTAATGAAATTATGGAGATGCTCCTCTGTTTCTATTGCAGGTATATATCCTGATTTCTTGCACCTGCAAAGTGGTTGGTTGTAGTATCATTTGTAATAGAGAAAATAGAAAACAAGAAAACAATCTAAATGATCATCATAGGGAATGAGCAAAATAAACTGTGGTATATTCATGGAAAAATCTTAAACATATTGAGTGAAAAAAGCAAGTTGTAAAAGGATGTGCATAGACACGTACTACACACAAAATCAGCTTATATTTTATGGGCACATGCATATATAACAAAAGTATAACACCTACAGAGGAAGTATAAAAATCAACTTAGAAGAAACTATTCCCTGGAGAAGAGAAATGGAAATGAAATAGAGCATAGGACTCTAGCCATGTCTGTAAATTTTAATTAAAAATGAAGCAAAAATGACAAAATCGTAATTAAAAAAAATCTGAATGGGTACATGAGCATTTATTATATTATGTTCTATTTGATTTAAATATTGCATAGTTAAAATATTTTTTAAAAAGTTGTGGTTAAAATATAGTGAACATGACTTTCTTTTGATATTCAAAAATACTATAGAGTTGAAATATATTTGGACCAATGGGTGCATTATTGAAGAAAACCATTTTTCACCCCAAGGTAACAATTATATTCTTAAGGATAATATTCAATTGAGCATACATAATATGGTTGAATGTTTTTAAGGCCAAACAACTTACTATTTCATTATCACAGTTGACAATCAGATTATAACTTTCTGAAAATGCCTTTTTGGCTTATTATATTTAAATTAAACAACACTATTACACATTGACCTTATTTGTCCATATTTTTGAGTTGTTTTCTTTTACCCTAACTAATTCAAGCAAGAGTAGTGTAGATCTTAGAGAAGTGCAGTAACATTTAGAGCAGATACTAGTATAACACACATTGATTATGTGTGTGTGTGTGTATATATATATATATATATATATATATATTTACAGTTATGTTACCATGACTTAAAATCTTTTAATTTTGTACAGAAGTCTCTTTTATATTTGATTATATCAGAAATGAATACTTCTTTGTGGTTATTATTTGATTTTATTTTGCTAAAATTACTTATGTGAATTTGTAAATTTGAAAGAGCCTTTCCCTGCCAATTTGTAGAAGTGAGTGTGGAAAGGATCATTTTTATATTAATGAAAATGTATACTTTTTTGTTTTACACAGCTTTATGAAGATATAATTTACATTCCATAAAACTCACCCATGTTAAGTATACAATTCAGTGAATTTTAGCAAATTTACAGAATGTACAATCATCACCACAATCTAATTTTAGAACATTACCATCACCTTAAAAAGAAACTTCATGCCCGTTTACAGCCACTTCCCATTTCTATCCCCAGCCCTAGGCAACTAATCTACTCTGTTTCTATATATGTGCCTTTTTTGGACATTTCATATAAAAGAAATAATAGAATATGTACCCTTTTGTGTCTAGTTTCTTTCACTGAGCATGATATTTTTTTAGGTTTGTCCAGGTTGTAGCATGTATCAGTACCTTGTTTCTTTTTACAACTGAATAATATTCCATTTTATGGATATATCATGTTTTGTTGATTCATTCATCAGTAGATGAACATGGGGGTCATTTCTACTTTTTGGCTATTGTGAATAATGCTGCTGTGAATATTAATGTACAAGTTTTTGTACATACAAGTTTTGAGTTGACATAGGTTTCCATTTCTTTTGGGTAGGAGTGGAATTGCTGGATCATATATTATGTTTATGTTTAAGTTTTTAAGAAACTGCCAAACTGTGTTCCAAAATGGCTGTGCCGTTTTATATTTCTACCAGCAATGCATAAGGGTTCCAGTTTTTCCACATCCTCATCAACACTTGTTATTTTCTGTGTTGTTTGTTTTAGCTGTCCTAGTGGGCATCTCATTGTGGTTTAGGTTTGCATTTCCCTAATGCCTAACGATGTTGGGTATCTTTTCATCTGTTTATTGCTTATTTGTATATCATCTTTGGATAATGGCTATTCAGATCTTGCCCCCATTTTTTCTGTTTTTTAAATTATTGTTGAGTTGCAAGAGTTCTTTATATATTTTTATGTATTTTGGATACAAGTCCTTTATTGTTATGTGATTTAAAAAAATTTTCTCCCATTCTGTGTGTTGTATTTTCACTTTATATTATCTTTTGAAGAGCAAAAGTTGTAAATTTTGCTTAAGTTCTATTTACCAATTTTTTTAAATTGCTTATGCTTTTGGTGTTATATCTAAGAAATCATTGCCTAACAAAGATCATGAAGATATGCTCCTTACTTTTCCTCTAAATAGTTTTAGTGCTTATATTTAGATCTATGATCCATTTTGAGTTAATTTTTACATATGGAGTGAGGTAAGGGTCGAAATTCATTTTTTTGCATGAGGATATTGAATTATCTCAGAAGCATATGACTATTTCTTTCCCTTGAACTTTCTGAAAGTCTTTGTCAAGTATCAGCTAACCATAAACATCAGGGCTTATTTATGGGATTTCAGTTCTATTCCATTCATCTATATGTTTATTCTTATGCCAGCACCACTCTGTCTTGATTATTGTAGCTTTGTAGTAAGTTTTGAAATTGGGAAATGTAAGTCCTCCAACTTTGTTCTTTTTTTTCAAGTTTATTTGGGTCTTTGAGTCCCCTGTGTTTCCATAAGGATTAATTGTCAATTTTTTTAAAAAAGCTATTTGGAATTTTAACAGGGATTGAGTTGAATCTGTAGATGAATTTTAGGAATATGTCTTCTGATACATGAAGATGGGATAACCATTGTGAATGGAATTATTTGCTTAATTTTGTTTTCAGATTTTTCATTGCTTCTGTACAGGAATGCAACTGATTTTTGTATGTTGATCTTGTATCTTGCAACCTTGCTGAACTCATTTATTATTTTTGATAGTTTTTTTAGTGGATTCCTAAGGATTTTCTATATACAAGATCATATCATCTGCAAATAGAGACAATTTTACTTCTTCCTTCCCAATCTGGGTGCTTTTAATTTAATTTTTTTGTATAATTGCTCTGGCTGGAAGCCCCAGTACAATGTTGAATAGAAGTGGTGAAAGTAAGTCTCATTGTCTTTTTCCTCATGTCAGAGGAAAGCAGTCTTTCTGCATTAAGCATGATCTTAGTTGTAAGTTTTTCATAGTTGCTCTCGTTCCCTTCTATTCCTAGTTTGTTGAGGGGTTTTCATCATAAGCGGGTGTTGGATTTTATCAATTGCTTGCTCTGCATCTATTGAGATGATATATGGCTTTGTTCTTTATTCTTTTTTTTTTTTTTTGTGACGAAGATCGGCCCTGAGCTAACATCTGCCAATTCTCCTCTTTTTGCTGAGGAAGACTGGCCCTGGGCTAACATCCGTGCCCGTCTTCCTCTAGTTTATATGGGAGGCTGCCACAGCATGGCTCAACAAGCAGTGCGTTGGTGCGCGCCGGGGATCCGAACTGGTGAACCCCGGGCCACGGCAGCAGAGCGCGCTCACTCAACTGCTTGCGCCACCGGGCCGGCACCTCTTTACTCTTTTTTAAAAAACCACTCCATTGAGGTAAAATTGATGCACAAAAAGCTGTACGTATTTAATGTATACAACTTGGTGAGTTTGGAGATAAGTATATACCTGTGAAATCATCACCACAATCTATGCTATAAAAATATCCAACACCTCCAAAAATTTCCTCCCACTCCTTTTATTTTAGTATTATTATTTTCTTGTGATAAGGACATTAACATAATATTTACCCTCTCAGCAAAAATTTTAAGTATGCAATACAGTATTGTTAACTATACGCACTATGCTATACAGATTGGATAACTGAAACTTTGTTCTTTATTCTGTGTGGTACTAATGCGACCTTCTTCATTCTAGGTCTTCAGTTTTACTTGTGAAGCCTGCAAAATGGTGACATTTAATATACCTTCTAAACTAGAGGCAGACAAAATGGTCGGCAGAGGTGAGAAATTTCAAAACAGTATTTTTAAATCAGAGATTTAGTTTACCTATGCTGGAAAGATAATGTTATCTGGTCTTTGCCTTTTGGAGTTAGCCTGAATCTATCTATAATTAGATATAATTCAAGATAAGTTTAAATATATGTTTCTATTCTTTATAATTCCATTGAATTTTCTGTGGTTGATTCTAGTACAAATGTGCTAAGCCGTGATTTTGTAGTCATTTATATTTTAACAGTGTAAAAAATACATAACAATTACTTGTAGAACATAGCCCTTTCATTGCTCAAGGATTCTGGCATTAGAGAACTACAGCTAAGGAGCTGAATCAGGGCAATATTTTTATCAATGCTCTAGCTGCGTTGAGGAACATAACAAGGTGAGCCATTACATTCAAAACTAAATTTAATCAGCTATTTGCATACTGAGATGTTGGGGAAACTCAAATTTTCCCAAAGCTGGGAAGCTCTGCCCAGGTTGACCTTCCATGTGGTACAGAGAATATTGGAGGAAAGTAGCATGATTTTTTTTTTTTTTTAAGACATATAGCTTGTCCTAGAGACACCAAACTTACTTTTCAACAAAGCGTCCCATTTCTGGTTAAAGTGCCTCATTTAATTTTATTAAACACGTGTCACTATTATTCCTATGGGAAGGAGGAAAGGAAAGGATGTAAAGAGTGGTCAGGGGCATTCCTCTAGGGAAATAGACCAGAGGTTAATATTCTGCCGAACATATGAAGATGAGAGAAATATGTCATTACTCCTAAAGATGTTCACTTCTTTTTGATTAAACATTTCCCTCTGTGACAGATTAAAACTTTATACATGGGTCACATATGAATCCTTTGAGAGATTATTACTTGAGAGATTATTACAGTTTGGTTTCTGTTACTACAGATAGTTGAAGAGTGGCATGGATTTGATACTTTTGATATAAGTATCAAAACACTTATATTGATACTTATATCTTATTACTTTTTACTAGGGAAAATTCCCAGGGAGAGAAGACCCCATATAGAGTTTCAGTGGGGAGCCCTGGAAAGCTAAGGAATGGGAACACAAAGAGAATTGCAGTTCCAGGGGGCAGGGGTGGTGGGGTGGAGTGTAACAGAAAAGTGCCAGTGGGAAGAATTCAAAGATAGATTTTTCTTACGTGACTATTTGCAAAACTCATACACTCGTGTTGCTCTTTGGGCTTTGCTCTTTGGGCTCGTGTGTATAACTTAGGGCTGAAGACAGGTGTCTCTTAAAAGACTCAGATTATATTAAGAAAACTTTTCTGTTTATTCAGGCCTGTATGGGAGCGTGTAGCTCAGCTTTGTCATGATTGCAACAAGCACACCTCTTTAACAGGAAGATCATTTTCATAAGTCTTTTAGAAGCATATAAAGGTTTATTTAATACAAGTATACAATCAAGAATTATTATTTTTTCCTTGAAAGTAAGTGATCAATTTTTAATACATGTAAAGAGATTGGTTAAGATATTTGGTAAATGCAAAGTGATTGGTTTATTTCATTCCACTTCATGATTTTGAAGAAGATTGGATAAACTTTTTAACACTTTTTTCTTTCTGCATGTGTTTCTACTTCACAACTTGGAAATTTTTACTTGCAGTTAATTTGAAAGAGTGCCTTGGGTCTGCAGACCTCATCCAGTCCAGTGACCCTGATTTCCGAGTTCTAGATGATGGGTCGGTATACACGGCCAGTGCTGTTGAGTTTGATGAGAAAAGATCATTCACCATATCGCTTTCTGATACGAAGAAACAGACACAGAAAGAGATACCTGTGCTCCTGGAACATCAGAAGAAGGTATTCAAAGTGCATTGATATTTTCAGATCATGTTTTCCTTTTCATTTAAGTATTGATTAAAAATTGCAAAAAGAGGGGCTGGCCCAGTGGCATAGCAGTTGAGTTTATGCGTTCTGCTTAGACGGCCCGGGTTCACCGGTTAGAATCGTGGGTGCGGACCTACTCACTGCTCATCAAGCCATGCTGAGGCAGCATCTCACATAGGAGAGATACAACTCTACAACTATGATACACAACTATGTACTGGGGCTTTGGGGAGAAAAAGGAAAAAAGAGGAAGACTGACAACAGATTTTAGCACAGGGCCAATCTTCCTCAAAAAAAAAAAAAAAAAAAATTAAAAAAAAATTGCGAAAAGGACCAAAAGATAAATAGGGTTTTTTCCTCTTCTTCTCCCTTCCCATCTATTTGCTTTCCCTCCTTCCCTTCCTCCTCCTTCTCTCTCTCCCTTGCACCCTCTTTCTCCCCACCCCCTTTCTCAACACTGGTTATTCATTGGTTCTGGATTTTGCTTTGTTAAATCTAAATGATGTCTCCTCTGTGAAGGCTTCTCCCACCTCCAAAGTCTAATTGCATTTGTGTGACAGTGTCAGTGTGGTTATCCCTCTATTATAGCATTTGCAATCTTTTATTAGTGCATGCAATTTATCTGTAGTTGCTTGAGGGCATGAATTGATCCCTTTGTGCTTATAGCCTCATACCTGACCCATAGTCAATAGACGTATGCTAAATAATATTAAGGGCAGTGGTTCCCAGTGAATAAGAGGTTGATTTCAAGTGCCACAGTGATTCTGATGTTAAAATGAGCTGGAAACCCTGGAGTATGTGTAAGTAGGAATAAGAATGTGTATGGCACGGTATTAGCCGTCACTTGGGTGACTAATCACTGCAGTTCTAGGTTCCACATGATGAGGAATGCCATTATGAAAGTAGTCACAAAAATGATTAGATGTTTAGACTGGATTACAAGTAATCGATGTTGAGTGTATTAATGATAAAGTTAATTTAAATGACTGTTTAGCACTTTAATAATTATTTAATCAAATTATTTATTAATTAATTCTCAAGAAATAAAATGTCTTCCTTGCTACACCATGAAATGAGACAGAAATCACTAAAAGGTCTGATAGAACTTTTTGCAATGACGGATATGTTCTATAATCTGCTCTGATATGCTAGCCCAATATTAATGGCTACTGAGCACTTGGCCTGCGGCTAGTGCAACTGAAGGACGGAATTTTGTATTTTATTTAATTCTAGTTAATTTAAATTTAAATAGTCATATATGGCTAGGGCTACCATGTTGGAGAATGCAGATAGAGTGTTAAGGCAGTGGAGAACATGCATTTTCTTGCTGTGGTTCGCCTAAGAGTATGAGGTTTTAGCAGAAAGAACAAGTAGGTGCTGTCTATAGATTGTTATGAAGAGGCTGTGTTCTCTTTCTCTACGGGGGAAAGAACAAGAAGAGCTAAGAGTTCAGGGATGATTTTCCTTACCTGAAAGTACGCTCAGTGTAAGAAAGGTAGACAAGAGGAAATTCTCTAGTTTATGAAAACTTGAAATCTGGTTACATTCATTCTTACCCTTCTACTGCAAAAAGACCTTATTATCTGGTCTTTAGCTTCAGCACGGAAATTCCTGAGACTGAGCGTCCAGGGAGGTGTTAGGATTATCAGCTGTCCACTATTTTACCACGAAGTAGGCTGTGATGCTTTTGTTTATTTATTTTCTTCCTCTAAATTCAGGTGCTGGGGAAAAGACATCCTAAAGAAACTGTTCTCAGGCGTTCCAAGAGGAGATGGGCACCTATTCCCTGTTCAATGCAAGAGAATTCCTTGGGCCCTTTCCCTCTGCTTCTTCAACAAGTAGGTTTTACTTGCCTTCTGAGTGGGAGTGCTCTAATTCCAAGAATCTGTTTTGTTCAGGTTTAACAACTCTTTAAACATTTAAAAATAAACAGATTTGATTGAAGATCTTCATGAAGTATAATAAAAGCGAGTAAAATGAGAAAAAAATCACTAAAAATCTACTACTAGTATAATATGAGAAAGACTGCAGCCATTAAATGATCTTTACTAGTTTATCCATTCATTTAGCAGCTAGTTCTTGAGCACCTAGTATATCCTGTGGAGGGCACTGCTCTAAGTACTGAAGCTAGAACTAAATTTAGTCATGGCCCTTGTTCTCATGTAGTTCATTAGTCTAGTGGGGAAGATAGAAGTAGGCACATGATTACAATAGTGAGTGATGAGTGCTATGATGGAGGTGGGTTGGGGTGATCTGAGAATTCGTGGGAGGAGCACCAAGTTCTGAGATGAAATGGGGTAGAAAACAAGAAAAGGCTTGATGGAGGAGACATCTGAACTAAGTCCTGAAGGATGAGGAAGTGTTGTGCAGGGAAATCATTGTGGGAGAAGAGGGAGGAACAGAGGTGAAAGTGACCATGACTCCTCAGAGGAGCTCTGGGTAGCTTGGTCTTCATGGGGATGATGGGGGTGGAGCAGGGAGATGAGGCAGAAGAGGCAGGTAGAGGTCAAACCATAATGGGCCATGTGTGTTCTGTTAGGATGTTTAACTTTTTCCTAAAAACAAGGAGAAGTTTTTAAGCAGGGTCAGGTTTACTTTTCATAAAGAGTTAAATGGAACATACAGAGTGCAAACAATTACTCAAGTAGAGCCTTGGCATTGTGCCTGCCTTATCCCCTTAAATTTCTATTACCGTCATTAACGTTTAATACCAATGCCGCGACCTGTGTCCTACTTGGATACATTTTTGACTATTTTTCTAGTGTCTTTCACACTTATTTTTTATTCTATCCAGTGCTAGACCCTTGTTTCTTCTTTTTGATTATTGTACTTTAAGCACTGATGAGATATATTAAGAAATTATTTTTGATTATCAAAGTTATATTGATCGTTGTTAATTTTAGCCTGTGTATTCCTGAACCAGTCGCCACCTCTCAGTCCTCATTTCCTTGACATCTGTACCTTTGACACAGCTGACCCCTCCCTCCTCTTTGAGATGCTTTCTTCACTTGGCTTCTAGGCCACCGTTCACCTTGTTTTCCACCTACCTTGCTGGCTACTCCTTCTTAGTAGGTTTTGCTGGTGCTTCCTCATTACCACCTCCACCACCACCTTCCTCAGTCTCTAAACTTTGGAGAGCGGGGCTTAGTCCATGAACCTTGTCTCTTGCTAATTTATATTCACTCTCTTGGTGACCTCATCCAGTCTCATAGCTTTAATTACTATTTATACATTGTAGACTTAAGACTTCATATTTCCAGCCCAAACTACCTAACTGATATTTCCACTTGGAAGTTTAGTAAACATTTTAAATTTAACATATACAAATCAAATGTTTGGGTTTTCTCCTAGAAACATCTTTCCATCTCAGTTAATGGCAGCTCCATCATTTCGGTTGTTGGGGTATTAGAGTCTGATAAAGTTTTAGTTGTAAAGAGCATGTTTCTCCCCAAGAAATTAACAGATAAGGATTTATTACAGTGTATCAAACAGTTCACAGACTTGTTGGGAGGGCTGAAGAAACAAACTTTAGGTTGAACTTTCAGGAAGGAATCCCCAAGATACACCACAGAATTTGCAGCCAAAGGACGTGCTATTTTCTCCATGGTGGGGAAGCCACTAATTCTAGAACCAAAGTGCTACTACCATGGTCAGGAAGCTTCCATGGTCAAGAAACCACCAGTCAGGAAGTGGCTCCTCCAAATGCAGCTCTAGAACACCATCTTAACTGCTGCAATCAATGTCAGCAAAAAGATTGATCCATATGCTCTCTCTCAAGACCCACAATGTTGGTGAAAAACTACCAGAACTTCTGCTGCTGCAGAAAAAAAAAAAAGAAAGCAATCTAAACTATGATGCCAGCAAAAACAGCAGAAGCAGCAAAGATGAGGTATCTACCTCACTTATAGCCTCCAAATCTCATAGCAAGCACATCTGATTGTCCATATTTAAATCCAGACCTCTAGTTTCAAGAGATTCTGGAAAATGGAGGGTTTGGGGTTTGTTTCTGTTTAAATCTTTTTAGCATCTACACTATGAGAGGACACAGTAGGAGGATAAAATAGATGTTGAGCCCCAATTTACCATATCCATCTGTTCTTTTCAGTTAAACTTTTAATTCCAGTATTATTATAAGATATTGGTATAGCTGCATTTACCAAGATCTCAAATTACAGTGGTTTTAGCAAGATAGAGATTTATTCCTCTCAGGTAAAAGTGTCATCTGGGAAAGAGGTTATAATTTGAGAAAACACTAGGGACCCAGGCTTCTTTCCTTTTTAGCTTGGCCATGCCTGCAGGCTCATGATGGCTCATCGCTGTGTCCAAATGAGAGAACACATTCCTTCACCTTCTAGAGCACAGTCTGGATCTTGCATATATTATTTTTGCTCACATCCCATTGGCCTGACCTTTTCCCGTGGCCATACCTAATTACAAAGGAGATTGAGAAATGTCTTTATTCTGGGCAAACTTGTGCTCAGCTATAAATTCTAATACTAAGGAAGATTGGCAGAGTAGATATTAGGGGATATTGGCACCCTCTGACGTAGCGTCATCCTCGACTTCCATCTTCACACCACACATCCAACTCATCGGCAAAGACTGCTGACTGTACCTTCAAATTATATTCAGAATCTAACCACTTCTCACGACCCCTATGGCTACCATGCTAGTCTAACAAACTGTCATCTCTCCCCTGAATTTTGGTGGTAACTTTCTAAATGGTCTTCCTGCTTCTTCCCTTACCCACTCACTCACCCAAGGCTGGTCTTAACAAACCACCAAGTATCACCCTCTGAAAATGTAATTCAGATAATTTTACTCAGGTCTAGATCATCCAGCAGCTCCCCATCTGACTCTAAGAAAAAGCCAACATCCTTGGAATCACTTACATGATGTGGCCCCCTATTGCTGTATTCCTCCTCGTCTCCTACTTTTTTCCCCCAGCTCTCTCTGCTCCAACCTCAGTAGCCTTCTTGCTGCTCCTTGAACACTCTACGCACAACCCTAGGCTGGAGTGATACCTTTGCATTTCCTCTTTCCTCTGCCGGGAAGAGTGTTCTCTGTTTATTCTCATAGCTCATTCTTTTAATTTTTGTCAGTTCCCCTCCCTAAGGAGCATGCCAATTGGCGTTCTTCTCACCAATATATGAGAGTCCCTGTTTGCCTCACCTCTACCAAAAATGGGTGTTATTGTTCTTTTCTATCTTTGCCAAATCACTAGATGGGAAATTATACCTTATTGTTTTTAATTAGGTTTTCTTTGGTTACTATTTATGTTGAACATTGTTTTCATTAAATTTGAATAGTTTTACAAAATCTTTTGCCAAATCTCGTTACTGTTTTGTGTGTTGATGAAGTGACAAATGTGATTGTTCTTTTATTAAGACACCTCTTTAAAAATGAAAAATATAAACACATAAGCTGCATTTTTCAAAATAGCATTTTGACTGTAGTTTTTTACATATGTGTATTTTTCCTTTCAGGTTCAATCTGATGCAGCACAGAACTATACCATCTTCTACTCAATAAGTGGGCGTGGAGTTGACCAAGAACCTTTAAATTTGTTTTTCATAGAAAAAGACACTGGAAATCTGTATTGTACTCGGCCTGTGGATCGTGAAGAATATGATGTTTTTGATGTATGAATATTATTGATACACGTGACTTTAGATGATTAAACTGTTACTTCTGATACTCCATCTACCCTTTCTGTCTTCCTGCACTCTCTTCTTAGAGGGTTTCCTAAAGTCAAAGGACATATATTGTGCAATATTTTGCAATACTTGGTCTGCTCTTTATCTCGACTCCTTTTAGGTAAGCCTGAAACAAAGCAAAGAGCTTTAATTGCATTTGGATGTAAATTCCAGTAAATTTCCGGGAGTTGGTTTTGCTTATGAGATACTCATTCTGTCTCTGGTCATGGTACAATTTCCTCTCTCCAGGACGTGGCCACAGTTGATTGGAAGGGCCCTCTTCCCTCTTCTGCTGTAACTAATTTTCTTGTCTTCCTTCCACCTGTACGATTCTCTGATCATGTCTGAGAACTAGATGAGGAAGCAAAAATGGGAGACTAAACCTAAACAAGGGATAATAAGCCAGCATTCTGATATGAAGGAGCTTACAGTCAAGGGGGAACAACTCAACACAATTTTCAATTTAGTATGGTAAATGCTCTGAGGTCATGTGGTCATCCCTGTGGTGCAGGGAGAATGATTCTCCATAGGAAAGAGGGATTCTCTTCCCAGAAGAGGGAAGAGATACTGGGTAAGCAGATGTAACTGATGTCCACCACATGACATTTCTTTGCTTTTGGTTAGAAAATTTTCAACTCTGTTGTAATCACATGCCAAACAGAAATACATTCTATTTGACATTGCATTGCCTTTGATTAATTAGCAATGCAGAAATTGGTAAATAAATTTTGTTATAAAAACTCTTAAAATATGTGACCTATGAGGTAAAACAATAGAAGGGGTTGGTAGTTACAAGATTGGGAATCATTGCTTCATTTAGATGATGTAGTAGGGATTTTTCCCATTGCAGTGAATTTAGTTGTTCTCCCCAACATCACCTTTTGATTATGAATAAGGACTATAATTTGAGTCTCTATATTCACATTTACTTCCTCAGTCTAATGGACAGAGTTGTCCCTGACTTTGCTGTACTCTGAAGTTTTATTTGAAGTGTAGCCATTTCTACCAAATACTGAATGCTCTTTACTATCCTTAAAGTGTTTCTCTATTTGATGCTTTGATGATTAAAAAAACATTGAATAGAAATTTTAAGTGGTTTATTATTGCAAGATTTGCAAAGAAGGTAGTAGATAAAGCATAGTATTCTCTCTTGCTAGACTCTTATATTAATGGACGATTGAACTTGCTTTTTCCTGTTTTACAGTTGATTGCCTATGCGTCCACTGCAGATGGGTACTCAGCAGACTTACCTCTCCCACTGCCCATCAGAGTGGAGGATGAAAATGACAACCACCCTATTTTCACAGAAGCAGTTTATAATTTTGAAGTTCCAGAAAGTAGTAGAATTGGTAAGACCACCTTTTTTTATTGAATTTTTTTGTGCATGTTTTCTGTTGCCATTTGTATTTTGTCTGTTATGAAATGTATGTTCATTTTCTTTGCTCTTATTTTCCTTGGTGTTTATCTTTTTCTTAACTACTTTTTTAATCTACCTAAAAGTGTTCTTTACGTATTAAGGACATTAACTTATTGTCACATAGTAAATATTTTCTCAGGGTATTGTTGCTTTTCAGTTTTATTAGAGCTTGTTTTTGAGGTACAGAAGTTCAGGACTTTCATTTAGTTAAATCTATCCATTTTAGACTTGGAAAGGCCTTTTCCTTTTAGACTTTATGATAAGACAACTTTTAAGAGTAAAAGGTATTATGTTAAATATGTTTGTGTACTTTTTTTGAGACATTGAATTTGTAATACTCAAGGCCAGATCACCCTGAGATAATACTGGACCATTATCTATTTACCAGAATACATTTAATCCCATCAAATCCAAACAATGTGTAACTTACAGGATATTACCAGAGTTTGTAGTGTTGTCAATATTATACCAATTAATTATAAAGGCAGGTAACAGTTATTCAAGTTTTGTACCATATTTGGTTTATATATTTTATTTCATTTTATCATAATGTGGGTTCATCATTATTGTCACCTCCAAGAGAGGACATGCTAGGTAGAATGTACAATAAAACTAAAATCAGTGTATATATTTTTATTAGGTTTTATTTGGGGAGGTGTTGAATGACACCCACTGAGGATATAATTTTTTTAAAGCTCTTATTTCTATTGTCTCTTCTCTTAAAACTACTACCTTACTACTTTCAATTTAGAATGAATACTGGAAATAACTTTAGAGAAACTGCTTATATCACATGCTTTCTGTCTTAAACACTTGCTCTCATATGTGGAAAACCAAAGTGTCTCAGTTCAGTTGGCCTTTAAATGTGGCGTTCATGATGCCTTCAGGGACCTGCAATATGGAGAATAACCACTCACAGTAAAGTTGAAAAGAGGTGGACTCAATCATAAACGATGACTTTGCTAACTCGCCTATTAAGGCTTCTACTAGTTACTTAGATCTTCACTGCATTATTATACCTGCTACTCCCCTTCATATTTTACCTTAATAATTTGATGTCATAGATGTTAAACCTCTTTATTATTCACATGCTACAATTAAAAAAGTAAAAATCATTGGTTTGGAGTTTAGGAAACCTGGTTTTTGATTCAGGGTCTGCTATTAATTCACTCTGGGAACTCGTGGAAGTCCCTTGGAGTTCTCTGACCTGTAAAGTGAGTTAACTACACTAGATGACCTATAATGTTTTTAGCCTCACAAGTCTATGACTCTGTTACATTTTTCTTTTCCCAAAGAGGGATAGTTGGTTTCAAACTCTTTCTTGAGGATTCTGTTCTCTTCAGTAGTAACAGAGAAGAATCAAGGACAAACACTTTGATGCCCAGATTAGCCCAGGTCCTTTAAGCATCTCAGACCAGTAAGTTCAGATCAATTAAGGCTGTGATACTCTGAATTAATAGTTGTTCCTTGAGTTTGCCTTAACTCGCACACAGAAGGTTTGGACAAATGGTGCTCAACTAACACTGAAGTATAGCACTCCCGGAAAGGAATTCTGAAGATTTTAGGAAGATTTTCTATGATAAGTAAAGCAGTTCTGTATCTAGAGGATTAAAATAGAGTTTATGTCTTCCTGACTGTCAATAGAATTGCAGGAAGAAAATGTTATGCCTTAAAAAGATTATAAACTTTTTTCTATGAAAAGATAGATGAATAACATTTATTTTCTTATAATAAGATTATTACTTCATGCCTTCATATTGATCCACTGCAGAAATCTTGTCATTACTTATAAATATGTAATTGGACATCCTCCACTATATATATAAATGTAAATATAATATATATATATATTTATTTACACACATATACATATACACATGCATACACATATATAAACTTTAAGGATATATTTTAGTGACAAAATTATTTAAAACTAATATTTCCTTGTCTTAAGGCTTTTATTTCCTTTAAATACAATATTTATGTGTGATTGTATTTCTATGTATTATTCCTCAGGCCAGCCTTATATACAGGGCTAAGGCAAAATGGATCTATATATTACATTTTCATGGGCATTAGAATGCTATTCTTACACTATAAAAATACCACCTGTATGTACTCTTTGATACCTAAAATCCTTTACCAGGGCAATATTCTTACATTCCATAAAAGTGGCAAATATTAATAACTCTAACTGAAGAAACAATTGACTTAAATTCTCTCTGAATGGTAAATACTATGAAATCCCTTCCTGAGGATTAAGTGGGGCTCGGAGCAGTGGGATTTGGGTACTAAGCTGGTGAAAAAAAATGAAGCAAATCAGAGACTAGCAGAAACCAAAAACATCATAGAAAGGAGACTGGGTTGTGAAAGGTCAACTTGACCATCTATAAAATTTTATCCCAAATCAGTCTTAATTTAGCTATTAACCAAAAGTTTAATTTTTAAAAATCTGATTTACTTGGGAGACGTGGCTTGTCTCTCCAGCTGGGTTTGTTATTGCAATATGTGGGAATATGTGTTGAAGTTTTTCTTAAATGCCGTTGAAATAAGTTTTTAGTAACTTACTATCAAACATTTTAAACTGTGAGCAAAGTAAAAATATACCATGATTCTCAGCATCCAAGTGTTTCGTGTTATGAATTTGAAGTCATATTCATCAGTACTATCTAAAGATGAAATATTTCTGGTAAGAAATATATTTTAATTTAGGTTCCCACCATCATTGCTAAAATTTGAAAACTGCTCCTAAACATATTTTGCAGTTCTGGAAATTGAAGACTCTTCTTTTGAACATGTAGGTACTACAGTGGGCGTGGTTTGTGCCACAGACAGAGACGAACCAGACACGATGCATACACGCCTGAAGTATAGCATTTTGGAGCAGATGCCAAGGTCACCTGGGCTCTTTTCCGTGCATCCCAGCACAGGCGTAATCACCACAGTCTCTCCTTATCTGAACAGAGAGGTAGCTTTCACACTCTAGAGAATCTCATTTTCCTGGGAGTTGGGCACCTCCCCCCCCATTTACTGTAATTTGCTATCTATCTGTGGATTAGGAGTTTCTAATTTTATTTTATTTAGGCCTAAGATAATAAGAATTCCTGGCCATGTTACCTGTTTTTTATATTACTTCTATTTCCTTATGTAAGAGAAGCCATAAGGAATAGAAATAGAGGTAAACTGATGTTTAGAAAGAGTGGGAACAAAAGATATTTCTTATGAAAGTTGTTATTATTGAATATTATTTTATTTATTTATTTATTTCCTGTGTGTGGCTGGTTAGTTCCAGCTCAGTAAGGGTGTGTAGGACATTTAGCTTCCTCATGTAGGACAATTAGTTATCCTTGTTCCATGAGTGTAGATCATACTTTGGTCCCTATTCAGATATTGTAGATATGTGCTTTTTATCAGGAATAGATTAGTTGAGACAAGTTTGATGAATTATTAAAAATCTGTAACACCTTTTGGAGTATAGTGTATTGTCATGTATATAGCGCTTTATGTTCAAATTCTTTATGCATAATTTTATTTGATCTTTATAACTTCCTTGTTTGCTAAATGGATTATATATCCAATCTATAGAGGAGAGATGTAACAGTCAGCAAGATTGGTTAACTTGCCCAAGTCAAATTATCACACTCAATCTTCTAATCTTTTGTTGTTGTTGCTCTGTCCGTTTTCTCAGCCTACATTTAACTCAGAGTCATGCGTTATTGACTGAGACACATTAATCAATTTCATATGTCCAAAATAGTTTTATTGGAACACTTCAGTGGTTCCCACTACAACTAGAATAACATAAATAGAAGGATCAATATGACTGGGAGAGATATTATAAAGAAGAAATCAATGAGATTTGATGCCAAAGAAAAAAGAAGGGATGGTGAGAACTTGTAAAAAGGAATCAAAAGTAGTACAGAAGTTTTATTTACTGTTATTTTTATTTTTGTGTATATGTGCAGGCAGGACATTTTATGCGATAAAGCACATAATGGTAATAATGAATGGGAAAGTTTGAAGGAGACAATATGAATGTGTTTTTGTATCTGTGGAATATGTAGAGATGATGTGGTAATCAAGTGAAAGCAAAGATTTTTTCCTCATTTTTTTTTACAGATTGAAAAATGAGGCTTAGAAAAATTAAATAATTTAAGGTTATACAGCTTGTAAGATACAGATTTGGGGTCAAACCCAGGTCTGTGTGCCTGATCAAAAAAAATCTAAGAGAATTTTGTGGAGAACAATGCAAGAAATAAAGAAATGAACAAGGGAGATAAAGAAACAGTGCATTTAGAGGAAGAGAAAACAGGGTATCAGAGAGTCCTGGAGCCTATGGGAGGAGCATTTCAGGGCGGGAATGTCGATTTTCAATGTGGAAGAGAGATAAGTTAAATGAAGACTCAGGAAGAAATAGAAGGAAATAGAAAAATGAAACAACAAGAAGAGTAGCTAAAGAATAGTAAGACAGAAGAGAAAGGCAACCAAGATGATTGTGTCAGAAACTAACAACTCCATTTCATTGTCGACACACCATCTGCAAACTTCATTCACAGAAGTCAATAGTGACCTCCTAATTGCCAAATCCAACAGTTACTTCATGCCCCTGTCTATTGTTGGCACTTACTGAAACTCTCTTCCCTTGGATTTCTGGTTCTCCTCCTTCTTCTTTGATCTTTTGTTTTTAGTGTCCTTTGCTTAGTCTTCTTATTTCCCCCATATCCTCAGCTCTTGTCATCCTTTAACCTCTCCTAGATAATCTGATTCCTGCCATTATTTCGACCGCCACCTACATACTGATGGCTCCCAGACTGGTATTTCTGACTATGATCTCTCCCATAAGTATAGGGCTATATATCCAGGTGCCTTCTAGACGTTTCTCCTTAGATTTCCCATAGCCGCATAAAATTCGATACGTGCCAAACAAAACATTGTTTTTGCCCCTCCTTGCCAACCTTGCTAGTATTCACTTGCTCAGAGAACTCTCTCTCTTTCTGCATTTCCTTTATTGGTTGATGATACCCCCGTATGCCTATCTATCCAAGTTAGGACACTTGAGCATCATTCTTAACCCCTCCTTCTCTCTTAACTTGTATGCAGAATCTGTTATCAAGTCTTACTCTATTGTGACCCCCACCTAACTTTCCTGTCACCCTTATTCTCTTTCCTCATTTTTACTGCCTCAGATTTGGACCACCTGTCTTTGACTCTTTCAGGAACTCTTTAACTGGTTTCTTTGACTTCTAGCTCAGCTCACTCCAAATTATGCTCAACCTTAATTAAGAATATTCTTTCTGAGACTCAAATGTTCTTATTTTGCGCTCTCCCTATGACTCCCATAAAATCTTTCCCTATTACCTGCTGCTTAAGCATAAGTCTAAATTCTTGTATACCTCTTTGTAATTTAACCTCTGCCTACTTTTTCAGCTTTATCCCTGTCTACCAAATTCTTAGTGTGTATGCAAATGTGCAAATCAAATAAAAGCATGGATACTCATAAATAGAAGAGTGTACAACTGAAGTTGCATTTATAAATCTAAACAAAGCTTTTCAAAACTAATTAAATATTTGCTTTGTTTTAAGGTTGTAGACAAGTACTCATTGATAATGAAAGTACAAGACATGGACGGTCAATTTTTTGGATTGATGAGTACAGCAACTTGTATCATAACAGTAAAAGATTCAAATGACCATATACCCACTTTCAGACAAAATGCTGTAAGTATATAATATCAAAATCTAACTCTACTTTGTGTATTGTTATTTGTTATTTAATCTGAATTAATAAAACATTTATCATAATTTGAAATATATGTTTATTTTATAAATAAAATTAAATAGCAGACACATAAATATCTTTTATTTATTCATAGTAGTATTTGTATTATCTCCCTCTTGTTAAAGGCCAGTAACATTAGTCTCCATTGGTACTGAAGTTCTTTCATTTTAAAGATAACCCGTAATGAAACAATACTCTTTGTGATTTGTGGTTTTAAAATAATCTAGGCAAAAACTATAAGAACAAGCACTTTCAGAGTGGAAGAAACATTATACTTTCTTTGTAAAAGTTTTCTTTATATAGTAAGTTTTCAATGAATTCTTTCCTTTTCAGTATGAAGCATCAGTAGAGGAAAATACAGTCAATGTGGAAATCTTACGAATGCCTGTAGAAGATAAGGATTTAATTCACACTGCCAATTGGAGAGCCAATTTTACCATTTTAAAGGGCAATGAAAATGGATATTTCAAAATCAGTACAGACAAAGAAACTAATGAAGGTGTTCTGTGTGTTGTAAAGGTACAGTAATAACAGATAATTGACAACTTGGCAAGTTAAGTTTTAATCAACTAATGATTTAATCAACTAAATAGTTTCAATTCATAGACTCTGCAAGTTGGAAAAGAACTTCGTCTATTTAGTCCAACTGTTCCCATCTAATGTCTGCCTTTCTTCTGTAATTTTTTTTGCCAGTTATTATTCACCTAACTTAACGCTTGAACATTCTCAATTATAAGGATCACCATTGGCAACTTATTCCATATTTGTAGAGCTCTGATTCTCAGAAGTCTTTACTTCTACTGTACCTAAATTATTCTCCTTATATCCCATGTCTTTGATCTGGGTTCTATTGCTAATGCTGTATGAAACAGGTATAATTCTTTTGAAAAAGCTGTTATGTCCATTTGAGACTTACCTTCTCTAGAATAAATATTCCCAATTTCTTTAACTGTTCCCTACATGATATAATTTAGAAGCTCATATTCTTCTCACTCTCTTTGTCTTGAATATATGCCTAGTAGTGTCTAATCCCTTTAAAGGTGCATTGAAGATGAAATATAATATTACATTAGACAGAACTGAATGAACTTAATCTTTCTTCTATGTATTGTATTTTTGGTTGTACTGTTACATTCTAGGGTCCAGGTTATGAGGGCAGAAAAATCCCTGTTTAGGAAGGATCTTTGGTTTTATATTCCTAGCCCAGAACAAGAAAGAAAATTGTCCTGTGGGCAGGTATAGGGGTCATTCATTGAATAAAGGAAGCTTATATGCCAATAACAGGAAGGTGGAGACTTTGGTACATAAATATCTCTATTTGTAATTATTTCCTCTGTAAGAATTTCCAGAAATTGGGTACTAAGACTTGGCGAGTTCTGTCCAGATGTCAGTAGTCAAATATATTGGTTCCAGATGACTCTCAACATCAAACCTCTCCCTATTTCAGTTTTCTATAACATGATCTGCTCAAATTGAATACTAAAACCAACTACTTAAAAAAATGAAGTTTTATAATTGAGAGTAATAGGAGAAGAAATAAGGAAACAGTACTGATCATTTTTTCTCCTCATTGGTCCAATTCCATCCAGTCTTCATTTGGACTCCCCAGAAAGCAGAGCCCAAAACAAAGACCTCAGTGAAGGTAGATATTTAGGAAGTGGATTCTAGAAAGCCAGAGTAAAAATGAGAAAGTAAGACAGGAAAGAATGAAAAGCAATTCAAGTCTGCATTGTTAAGTTAGTCACCTCTGGTGTGCAACCATACAATGAACCGTGTAGAACGTACTTCAGAATTATATCCTCAAAGATTTGTTCCTGGGGCATTATCCATCAGCTCTCATTCTCAATACCCATGCCCCACTGGTTGAAGTTTACCCCAAGGGAGCCTCAACTCTCCTGTACTTCTGGACTGGGCTGTGCCTGCCCACTTTCTGGCTTTGGAAAAAACTTTGAATCTGAAGAGCTGCATCTTGGTGTGCTTGAGATGTGAATCTGTCAGTGTAAATGGGAGGTGTCCATCACAGCTGCAGCTAAAGTCAGGGGTGGCTGAGGGGCTGTGGTGTATAATTCTTTTGAAAAGGGCCGCTATGCATCTATTATAGTTTCCAAAGCTGGATACACTTACGTAGTACAGGCATTCACCTCAAAATTGATGTGATTGGCAACAGATGTTTTGTAAAAGATTTCTTCTGGACATCCTTCTCCATGCCCTACCCCCCATCACCTTGACTCATTCTGGAAATAAGTCAAAGGAGTAGTTTGAGATCTGAGATGGACACATCATGTCAACTGCAGTAGCTCAAGTTGGAGACCCAAGCTCAGACCTTTTAGTGTGCTCTCTAACTGCTGCTTGGTCAGAGGGCTGCTCCTCAGGTCTCTTTCATTCAAAGCCATTAGTTAAACTCATTATTATTATTATTATTTTATCTCAATGGTTTTGTCTTGCTTATAGAGGCAAAATTTAAGTAAGATTAGCAATTAAATTTTTATTGTGAGTTTTTTTGACCAATACAAAATGATCTTTAGTAAACTTTCTCAAAAGAATATATTCTAAAAAATAAAATATGTATATATCAACACATTCAATTTTTTCATACTCAGAATTCCAAGGAGTAGAATCCAGGGAGTGAATTTTTTTCCCCCCAAGGAGTGCTAATCACAGAGATATTAAGATAATATTTCCAAGTATCTTTAGAAATTGTAGCCTATCTCCTAGAATATTTGTCACCCCATATGACTAATAAACATCTGTTTCATTTCTGGTGAACAGCTTCTGGGTACCACCCCAGGATTCCCCAGGAGGGAGAGCAATTAGATGATGATACTTGACTGCTTTGTCTCTGGCTCAGTTTAAGTTAGTTTAACTTATGAAGAATATAGAAAATTTCTTTCCTAATAAAATATGTATGCATTTATTTCCATTATTTTTAAATATAAGATAGTTGCACTTACATTTTATAATTACATCCTAGTTCATACATCTAGGAAATACTTTCAGAATTTTAAAAATAGTTTTCATATACTGAGCACCTTTTATGTCAGAGAGAATGATATTAGGCACCTTTGTGAGTTATAGTTAGTTGTCACATCCCCCACAATATCTTAGGATAAGGTATTATTATTATCCCTATCTTTTTTTAGAACTTCAATTCATTTCTACTGCTCTGCGTTTACTCTTTAAATTTTCTCCTTCCTCTGTCATTATCAGCTCCTTTGCTAATCTTACCTTCTCTCTTTCTTTGAGCCATTCATAGTATTCTCTATGTTTTGGTCAATAAAATTTGCATTTGCCATGTTATGTCATCCTTTCTATATTTTATGCAAACTCTTAGAAAACCTGAATTCATCACAGAGCTCCTTTGATAGCCACACTGGTCTTTAAAGGTATCTTATCCTTTTCCTTGACAAAGATTTGTGTTATAGATTTGTGTTATAAATCTTAAGTTATATCTGCAAGTACTTTCTAACCTTGATGAGGTATATTCTATTTTAAAATAAGCACTGTATAATCAGGGCTTTTGAAATCCATCTTTTTGTCATGTAGGCTACATAGCTGATGATGAATATTCTCGCTACTGGTTAAAGTAAAGAATGACGTCAATGTGTTGATTGCCTTAAAGGAATCCTCCTTTTCCACTGCTCTAGTTCTTCCTTGTTAGCCATGATTATGTTCAGGATAGAGTACGCTTGGATTACGTTCAGGATAGAAGTTCACTTCATTCATTCCTTTATACCCTAAAGGATTAAGTAATCAGTAGGTTAAACCAAAGATTGATCAGGTTTACTTCTTTTAATTGAACAAAGCTTCCAAGCATTGCCTCTTTAGTTGGTGTTTCCAATTATTGCATTATATTGGCTGTTAATAAATGCACCACTTTTCCCCTTCGCCTGTGTGACAGCTTGATAGATTACTAAAATTTATAGTGTAAAGCACTTACTATGTGTTCTAATGTTAAATGTCATTCTTACAACATTTGTATGGAAGAGAAAACTTAGTCTCAGAGAGATTAAGAAACTTTCCCAAAGTGACACAGTTAGGATGAAGTAGAGACAGGATTTGAACCTAGGTTTCTTTGATTCCAAGTATATGATCTTAAGCACTATGTCAAATTGCTTTGCATAGCTATGTGATCTTGGAAATTTACCCTATGTATTATCTGTAAAATACAAATAATACTTCTCTCTGTCTCCTTAGTAGCTATTCAATTATAATAAGGAAAATGAAAGCACTTGGTAAACAATAGGATACTATTATTATATTTTTAAAAGTCTTAACATGTTCTTGGGACTAGTGTGTTAATTTTCCATAATAGGGAACTTTCCTGGAACTGTAGAGCATGAGCTGATACAGTCTTTAGCTGAGTCCTGGCTAATCTTTCCATCTCGGTATATTCTTTCTATTTCAGCAGCAGCAACAGCAGTGCATATGGGCTTGAGTGAGGAAGACATTGTTCTCGGTCATTCTCTACGTAGAGAGTCCTCAGTTCCACAACAATACAACATTTCGTTTTCTAGGGAGTTGTTAGCATCTCAGTGCAGATATAGGATATTTTTGAACATTCTTTTTCAATTGATGCAACAAAAAGTGATGGAAGAGAATTCATATTTTTTTGTTAATCATTGATTTCATCCCACCAGATTTCAAATCTTGCAGAGTTTTAAACCGCTAAAACAATATCCAGCTTAAGCACCGAAAAATTACATAAAGAAATTCTAAGGCTTTAGCAAGTGGCTCTGGATTGAATAACCTCCTCCAGTGCAGCAGCTGTTTCCTGAATCTCCATCCATTTCTCATTGCCAACAGATGCTCTCACTCTCTGCATGATCATGCCAATGTGTAATTTGTGAGATAGTGTTCATCAGCAAAGATATTAATCCTTTTCCCTCTTGACTCTCCTGTTTCTGGGATATTCATAAAAAATCAAAAAGTTTCACATACATTTTGTGGATTCTAAGATTCAGAAATCTTCTTGACTTCCTAGTGGACTCATGTTATTAGTATCTCAGACTGATAATACCTAGGTGTGGGGAAAGGTTTAAAAGAAAAATTTTACTCATCAGTTTTGATTTTGTTCAATGTTCAGCCAGTGATTGTTTTGGCAAGCAGAAAGAGAATCAAAGAAAAGGTGCTTCAACTTTGCAGTACAGTGTAAAATAGTATTTTACGGATTTTGCTTGAGTTGCTGTCTAAAAATCAATTATAATCAAAGAATTGATTTAAAAATTTTTAGAGGCTGGTGAACTAATTAAGCAGCATGGTATAGCTGAGGGATTATAGTGTGGCAGTTAAGGAAATGACTCAAGCCAGGCTAACTGGCTTCAAACTCCAGCTCAAATGAGTATCTTTTGGTCTTGGAAAAATCAGTTTATCTCTTCTTCTCTGCTTTCCTGCTCTGTAAAATGGGGATGATGATAATAATAGTATCATTAGGCACGTCATAGTTGTCTCACTCCTCTGCATTTTTATTATGAGAATTTCGTTGGATAAACTACAGACAACGCTGAAGTATAATTCTCAAATTGTCAAAAATGTATTTCTCATGAAAATAGACAGTGAGCATGGGTAAAAGTTTTATTTAACTCAGTAATGAAGGAATCAGCGAAAAGGCAAAGCAGATTCCTAAGAAGAAATGAGGACCTGGATTGATTTTGATAAAAGGAAAAGCTGAAATAAGATTTCTTAGTTACATGCCTTATAGGATAATTAAAACATACATTTGGAATGTTTTTTCTATGAGAGAGAAAATAAAATCATTTCACTTTTTTGGTTTTGTTTAAGTCAATATCTAATTTTATGAGAGCTATAAAATATCTAGGCCCTAGTCAATAGTAAATAATAAGCCAAAGTTGTGTTCCCCTAGGGAGTCAGATGACCCATTGGGGGGTCTCTAAGGGCCATAAGAACACTGTCATCTTTTTGCATTATCTCCAGGTTCAGAATCACATTCCTTGGTAAGAATGAACTATACAAATATTTCAGGAATTGCTTTTCCATAACTCTATAAAATCACCTGCAGAAACTTTTGGACCACTCTTGTTAAAGGCTTAGTGAAGACTCGCCATTTTTTTAGCAAAGGGTGAAAGTCAATATTGACTAAATGGGAACTTAAAATTTATGCAGCACTGTTTATATTTACAAAAGTTCACTTGCTATTAGAAATACCAAATGTATTTTACACTGATGCTGATATGCATGTACTTTTTTTTAAAGCCACTGAATTATGAAGAAAACCGTCAAGTGATCCTGGAAATTGGAGTGAGCAATGAAGCTCCATTTACTAGAGATGTTGCACTCAGAATGACCACCATGAGCAGAGCCTTGGTCACAGTTCATGTGAGGGATCAGAATGAAGGGCCTGAATGCACCCCTGCAGCCCAATATGTACGAATTAAAGAAAACTCAGCAGTCGGGACAAAGATCAATGGCTATAAAGCATATGACCCTGAAACTAGAAGTAGCAAAGGCTTAAGGTACAAAGAAAACTATAACCACACACTAATACAACTATATTTGTAATAATTGAGACAGTAACTTATTTTAATACGTGTTATATTGCTAACGGCTATTTTTATTTTTTATTAATAGGTACAAAAAATTGCGTGATCCTAAAGAGTGGATCATCATTGAAGAACTTTCGGGATCAATCACAACTTCCAAAATTCTGGACAGGGAGGCCATGACTCCGAGAAATGACTTATATAATATTACAGTCCTGGCAATAGACCAAGGTAAAAAAAAAGTTTTAACATGATATTTTAGAAAAGAATTGGATAATAAACTGCAATTTATTCTTAAACAGAATTATTCTTGTGATAGGTATATAGAATTCTTAGAAATTACTTTAAAGACTATTCCTATTTCTCTTGATCCTCTAACAAGGTGAAAGTGCATGGCAACAAGAAGCCATGTCTTGTTCATCTTTATATCCCCTACATGACGGGACCTTAAACGTTTATAGATCTCTAGGTTAGAGGACAAAGATGAAACTTAAGTCTAGGACTAGATGAAATGGTCTCACTAGACTCTTCTAGATCTCTTTATGTCACTTTAAATTGAGCCTTTAAATAACACAGCTGATTATTAGGTCAAAATGATCCTTTCCTTGAACTCTGTTCGTTCAAGTAACCCAGAGTTTCTCAGCCCTGGCTTCATATTAAAATCATTTGGGGCACTTTAAAAAAATGTCGCTGTGTAGACACTACCTTAGACGAACTGACTCAGAATCCCTGATTCGGGAGCCTGAGCATCATATATTTTATTTATTCATTTATTTTTTGGTGAGGAAGATTGTCCTTGAGCTAACATCTGTGCCAGTCTTCCTCTATTTTGTATGTGGGACGCTGCCACAGTGTGGCTTGACGAGTGGTGTGTATGTTCGCACTCGGGATCCGAACCTGTGAACCTCAGGCCCCTGAAGTGGAGCGCATGAACTTAACCACTACATTACTGGGCTGGCCCCAATGTCATATATTTTAAAAATCTCTCTTGGTGGTGACAGTGTGTACTGAGATGAGAATAACTTTTCTGTAGCTACTTTACTGCTTGGTAACATCTGCACCAGAAGGAACCCAAGGAAATAGAGAGTTTGACATTCAGACATTTATTTTCATTGTTTGGTAGTAATTTTGGTAAAAGGTTTGTTGGCAGTTGTAGCTGATATTATTAACAGCAGTACTCATTTTAGATGATCTACAGGTTTCACGTATCCATCTATGTTCTTATTTACTGTTTCCTCTAGTAATCAGAGTTTATTAAAAAAACATTATATATAGAATATAGCTGATTTTTTTCCTTAGAAAACTATAAAAGAATTTATAAACTACACTAAACTTTTTTCCTTTCTTCCTAGATGGTAGATCATGTACTGGAACACTTGTAGTTAACCTTGAAGATGTGAATGATAATCCACCAGAAATACCTCAAAATGACCTAGTAATTTGCAAACCCAAGATGGGGTATACTGACATTTCAGCTGTCGATCATGATGAACCTATCCATGGTGCTCCATTTTATTTCAGCTTGGCAAACACTTCTCCAGAAATCAATAAAATATGGACCCTCACCAAACTTAATGGTATTTAATAAAAAATAATGATGTATATGCTCTGAAATAATGGAGAATAGATTTACTTGTTTACTTTAATATTCTTATTAACATATTTTAGAAGACTAACTTAACCTTTTACAAATATTTTAAGGGGGTCTGTGTTATCTATTTTATATAACATGAAAGACATCATAATTTTTACAAAGGTAAAATTTACGTTTACAACAAAGACAAAAGCTTGTTAAAATATTGTTCCACTTATCATTAAGACAAATTGTTGTTGTGTTTTTAAAGCAACTCTAGTGAGGTGAGGAGAGAACAGAAGATGGGCAGTTTAAATTTTATTGTAAGCAAACTCTGGAAATGAGGAGTCTGGGTGTATGGGACAAGCACTCTATGGTATTCTGGAAGGAAAGATGGTGGGGTATAGATAGAGGCATGGTGTTGGAGCTGTCAGGGCTGCCTTCTGTGATGGTGGTTTCTGGAGGGCATAGTATTCCATATTTCAGCCACGGTTCACTGCTGTTTTGTTACTATGCCATGCTCTTTCATGCAGCTGCACTTTTGTCTATGCTGTCCCTTCTGCCTAGAATACCTCTCTTTCCATTTCTTAGCTTGGTATTAATTCATAATATTTATGGAGCACCTACTATCTACCAGGCACTGTTCCAGACTCTGGGGATGTATAGAGAGATTAAGACAGAACTGACTCCGGCTCAGATGCTTACATCTATGAAGTCTTTCTTGACGTAGAAGTGGCACTGTGACCTTTTCCTACATTTTTTATAGCTCCTTTCATGTTGTATTATCATCTATTTACCTTTCTCCTCCAGTACATGTGTTTCTCAGGATATTTATGGTTCATCTGTGTATTTCCAGCACCTAGCCTAGTGCTTAATGGTTACTAACTGCTTAACAAATATTTGTTTAATTAATAATTGATTAATATATATGCATAAAGAAGGAAAATACAAGGGGAATAAGTAATCAGTGTTGTTGGAGTTTAGAAGCTTTTGGTAGGAATGCCGGGAGATTGAGTGGGAGGAAGGATGGAATCTGGTGGTGAAGGGCCTTATGTACCAGGCAGAGGAGACTGACCTCTGTACAGTAGCTGACAGCAGGTATGCATTGGGAGTGTGCTAGTAAGGCAGTGCTGTATCCAGATTTCTGTCTTCAGAAGTTGACATTGGTGACAGTTAGGAGGACTATTTGAGGAGGGCAGAGTTGAGTGGCAAGGAAATTCAGAGGCTGCTGCACTAGTATGAATGAATGAGACATGACATGGCTCAGCTTGTGGTCTTGAGGGAGCACAGGGATTTGAAGGGTTTTACCTTAGGCCCAATATGATCCTGAAGGGTTCCAAATAAGCCCAAGTAGTAATTCACGTGCCTTTGGGGAGCTTTAAGTAGGAGGTGCAGCCAAAAATCTTTAAAGTTCTTAGCAGCTATAACAGTGCGTTTAAGAAAGGCTTAGAGGGCCGGCCCCGTGGCTTAGCGGTTAAGTGCGCATGCTCCGCTGCTGGCAGCCGGGCTCGGATCCCGGGCGAGCACCGACGCACCGCTTCTCCCGCCACGCTGGGGCCGCGTCCCACATACAGCAGCTGGAAGGCTGTGCAACTATGACATGAAACTATCTGCTGAGGCTTTGGGGGAAAAAATAAATTAAAAAAAAAAAAAAAAAGGCTTAGAAATTACAGATGACTTGCAGGAGGTACATTATGCTACTTTGTCATTTCACTTATAGCAAAACTCAAAGGTTGTAATTGTCATTGAAAGTATGTGGAGGGCCGGCCCCATGGCTTAGCGGTTGGGTGTGCGTGCTCGGCTACTGGCGGCCCGGGTTTGGATCCTGGGTCGGCACTGACGCACCGCTTCTCCGGCCATGCTGAGGCCGCTTCCCACATACAGCAACTAGAAGGATGTGCAACTATGACATACAACTATCTACTGGGGCTTTGGGGGAAAAAAGGAGGAGGATTGGCAATGGATGTTAGCTCAGAGCTGGTCTTCCTCAGCAAAAAGAGGAGGATTAGCATGGATGTTAGCTCAGGGCTGATCTTCCTCACAATAAAAAAAAAAAGAAAGAAAGTATGTGGAGCTTTTGGTCAGTTGATAATAAAGTCAATAAAATAAGATATTAAGACTATTGGGGAAACATCACAGTTGATAAAAATGTATAGTTATGATATAGATGTATCTGTTTTTGTGTAAGCCTTATACATAACCTGGGTGACATTAATTAGCTTTCTGGTATTGAGATTACTTCCGGAGGGAAGGCATTAATAACAAAGGGTCTATTGTACTTTGAAAAATTACCTTGTACATAAGGATAATGGACAGGTACCAGAAGGTAAATGGATAAGAGAATGTGAACTTAAGACATCCTTATGTGTAACGATTGGTGTTAATTCTTTATAAGAACCATAAACTGTTACTACAGAAAAATGCTTGAAGTGTATGTCAAGAGCAAATCTAGCATCATTAGTTTGTAGATAAAGGAATAGATAAGGGAATATTAATGTTGCTGAAATGCTACTGGGTCATTCCAATGCCAAATTATTTCTTTAAGGCTCTCTTCTAAAAAGTTATATTGGGCAACACATATACGGTAATATTGGTGCTTGAAAAAGTTGAAGGTCATCATCCATTTTTATTCATTTCATATGGCAGGTGGTTCCTTGAGAATAATATCTTTAAAAATAAGTGTGGGGAAACAAATGCCAAGGAGGAATAAATGTTCATTAAAAATATAATTCTTTTATTTTCTTTCAGATACAGCTGCCCGTCTTTCATATCGGAAAAATGCTGCATTTCAAGAATATAATGTTCCTATTACTGTAAAAGATAGAGCAGGTCAATCTACGACAAAAACCTTGAGAGTTAATCTATGTGACTGTGTTTATCCAAGTCAATGTCGGGCGACTTCAAGGAGTGCAGATGTAATCCTTGGAAAATGGGCCATCCTTGCAATACTACTGGGTGTGGCATTACTTTCCTGTAAGTCCTTTTACTTACTTAAAGTTAAAATGTATAATAAATATCTGAGTGCAAGAAAAGATCTACAAAAAGTAATCTTGTTCAACCATCCATCAGGTGTGAGACCCCTTTACAAATTCCTTTTGTGTTATTATCTGAGTTTTGATTGAATATTTTATGTGAGAGGGAGCAAGAACCTTTTTGAGATAAAAGATTTCATACTTGGACAAAACTGTTGAAAATTCCTTAGATTGTGCCCAATCTGTCAACGTATAGCTTTTATTTCTTGGTGCTAGTACTATCCCTTTTAGGTCTAAATGAAATAATCTAAATCTTCTGCTATATTGAAGTCCACTAAAAGCCACTTTCATTTCATGCCTTCTCACCATTCAGCCACAGACTTATGGGAGACGTTCAGATAACAGCAATATCTCTTCTTGGGTATATCTTGCCAGTTTGGAATTCTGTTAACCTCCTTCTCACCAGTTGTGTAGTTCCCAATAGTATCATATTTTTTCCTCCCTTTTTATTTCTATCCAAACCTCCAGCCTAGATTAGCTGTTGTTCCTTGGTTCTGTGATAGGAGTAGTGGTTAAGAGTAAGATTCTGGAACCAGACTGTCTGGGTTTGTGCCCCAGCCCTATCATTTGCAAGCCATGTGACCTGGGGCAGGTTACTTAACTGTGCTTCAGTTTCCTCCTCTGTAAGAGGGTATAATTATAGTTGCCTACTTTATGGGGTAGCACTGAGGATTAATTGAGTTAATGCATGTGAAGAGCTTAGAACAGTGCATGGTATATTTCCAATAAGTATTCATTATTTTTCATCAACTCAACAAAATAAATATATATTGGATACCTACTACATGCTGGAAACCGTGTCTGGGTGCTTGGGATTCATCCATCAGCAAAACACACAAAAATGTACAAACAAAAACAAACAGTCTGCCTTGTGATGGTAAACAAATAAATTAAATTTTGTAGAGGAAAAAAATAGAGCAAAATAATTAGGATCTGTAGAGCTGTAGAGAGTGTGTGGGTGAGTGCGGGGGATTGGCGCTAGTGATTGCAATTTTCATTAGATGGTTAGGTCAGGCCTCACCGAGAAGGTTACCTTTGATGATTTTTGAAAGAAGTGAGAGTGAACCAAGTGAGACACCTGGGCAAAGAGCCTTCAGTCAGAGGGAAAGTCAGTTCAAAGACGGTAAGATGAGAGTAAGCATGGAGAAATGAAGGAATGACAGGGAGACCAGTGTGGCTAGAGAGCAGTGGATGAGGAGAAGAGGAGTGAGAAATGGAACCAAAAAGGTAACAAGGGGCCACAGAGAATAGGCAGGGGTTGGTACATGTTTTCTGTAAAGGGCCAGATAGTATATATTTTAAACTTTACAGGACATACGGTTTAGTTGTAACCAATCAAATCTGCCCTTGTAGCAAGAAAGCAGCCATGGAATATATTTAAATAATGAGCATGGCTATGTTCCAATAGAACTTTATTTATAGACACTAAAATTTGAATGTCATGTAATTGTCACATGTAATAAAATATTATTGTTTTGATTTTTTTCAACCACTTAAAAATATAAAAACCATAACTCATGGATTATACAAAAACACATGGTGGGCTGAATTTGGGGCGGTGGTTTGGCAATCCTCGGTACAGGGGCTTGTAGAACATTGTAAAGAATGTTGTTGTTATTACTACTAGTTTTATTATCACATATTTCAACCTCCCACAATTATGATGTAGAATGAAAATTCTGAATAGACAAAGTACAAAGTAGGTTTTAAGATACTTGGAGATAAATCTATTCTGGGAAAAAAGTCTGTTTTGTCATGTTTTCCTAAAGGCAAACCATCCTTTTGGGAATCAGTAAATCTCTTTAAAGTTTCCTTTTAAATAAATGTCATTTTTTTAAAAATTTACTGCTTAACTCATGATTCTAAGTACTTCAACATGATGGGTAGAATTCAAACTCTTAAAAAGGGCTATAATCAAAATATACATATAATCACTTCAAATTTTAAACTCTAAGCTAAATCATGGCTTGTCAATTTAGCAAGGCCAAGGTAATTCATGGGACACCATGCTTAGTGGTTTAATTTTCCTCCTGTGTGCCTTAGGTAATAAGAAATAAAAGATGACTATTTTATTCTATATATGTTAACTTTTTTGTTTTTTTTTTTTGTAACTTAGGTGTCTTGCTAACTTTAGTATGTGGAGTTGTTGGTGTCAGAAATAAGAAACATTTTCCTGAAGATTTAGCACAGCAAAACTTAATTATATCAAACACAGAAGCACCTGGCAATGATAAGGTGGTAAGTAATTTTTTTAAATAACTATTTATCTCTGAGTATCTCCCCAAAATTTTTTAACTCATCAAAACTTAGGAGTTAATTTATATTTTTAATTTGGTCAGATTTTGTAGGCATAAGTATTTTATCTGTCAATATTCAAATATTTATGTAGCAGTATTTATTAAACTTCTTAAACCAGATGTATTGTTTTAGTTATCTTTTTTCCACTCTGTAGTGTTATGATTTAAAAGTTGTTCTTTGATGTTGTGAATTTATAACAATCTTTTTGGCTGTTCTCTACAATGTATATTTCCAGATATTATTTGTTTATCTAACTCTTTGACCATTTATAATGGGAAAAATAAACTTGCTAAAAGTTCTCAAGATAAACTAAGAAAAATATCAAAGAAATATATGTTTGAATAAAGTGTGTGTGGGGGTGGGGGGGTAGAGATTGGAAGATTACTGCTACTCTCTTTCCTTGTATATTTCTTGGGACCTCTGAGGAGCTGGGCACCACGCTTCTTGTTTTTTGGGAAGTACATAAAAAAAGTTCTTACAGGCCATGTTCTCCCCCTCAAAAAGATTTCAAATTTATTTATGAGAAATACAAACTACTTTCATGGGAAAAATAAATAGGAACATGACAGTAAACCACTAGCACCAATATGATAGAGCACGGTCTGAGTTCAAAGATACTTATGATACATGAGTATATTCATGTCATCTGGATCAACCAAAGTCCCTGTGAAAGAGGTGCATATTACTCTATAATTTAAAGAATACGAAGGGTTTGAAAGTGAAGAGATGGTGGGAATAGCTAAAGAGAAGGAAAACAGGCAACAGAATAAGAAAGGAGATGATAAAGTTTAGGGATTATTTAACAAATAGTAAATAAATTGACTTGGAATGGAAGAAGTGATGAGTTGGAATAGAGACTTGAAGATTGAGGTAGGCTTTGAGGGGAGAGGACGTAAGAGAGGAGAGGGAGATGGGACTTTCGTATGTCACACAAAGGATTTCGGATTTATTCTCTTGGTGAGAGAGCCAGTCAAGGCTTTGCACGGAAGTGGAACAATGTGAGCAGTGTGATGCTGAATCAGGAGGGTGACTAACAAGAATAGGACGACATTAGGGATGGGGAAGATAAAAGATTAGGATCTTTTGATAATTTAAGCATGAGATGACTCTATTAGGATGATGGTAATTGGGATATTAAAATAGGGATGGATAAGGAATATTTTAAATGTATAAATGATAAGATTTTTTACTTTTGAGGGACAAAGTAAAAAGTGGAGTCAAAGTGACAGATACTATAGCCAGGGACAATGAGGATGTATTAAGCCTTTTCTATCTCACAAGGCGAAGATGCTTTTCTTATTGACTATTTCTCTCTTTCACCTCATCCCCAATATCGTGCCAAATCATAGCTTTGTCTCCATGTGGAACCCTGTAATTATCTCCCATTCAGAAAATAGTTTCAGTGCCTTGATAGTCCTTGTATAGATAGTAAATTTTATTATATATCTGAGAATGGAATGAATGGGTTTTACTTAATATTTGTTCTTTGCCATTTGAAGCTAGAGCTGATCAGACGCTTCACTGTATCATAGTCACACATATTTACCTGTTCCCTGTTAGGAACACTGCTCAAAAGGACTTGGAATTATTAGTTTATACCAGAACATAATTTTAGACATATTTTTACAAAATGTAACAAAATTTCATAGTGAATATATAAACCCATTTTAGTACGATGAGTAAAGGTGGTGACTAGTTCTGGATCTGAGTTCAAGTTAAAGGCATTCAGATGGGGTTAGGAGTTGGGTGACAGATCAGAACTGGAAAAGCAAATCTGTAAATCACTGAGATGGAGGGGGAGTTGTTGATACCCTGTGAGAATAAACTTTGGGGAATGCACTTGGAGGTGGGTAGGAAGGAAGGGAGGAGAGAGAATGTGAAACAGCACTCTGGGCTCAGCCTCGATTTTAGTTTCTTTTCAATTCTCCTTTCATTAGCTTAGAAATATGACCTCTGAACATATATATATAGTGACAAAATTGTACCATCAAGGAGATTTGATCATCAGAAGTTTTGTCTTTTGTAATAGAAATTTACTATAGCAGCAACCTAAGCAAACGTATAGGGTAGCGGTGCCACCAACTGGCAAATTCTCTTCTTTTTTTCTGACATTTTTTCCTAAGGCAGTGAGATAGTGTGTATGACATTTACAGATATATTTCAGGTTCAGTAAATCATCTCAACTTGAAAATCTTCCAGTTTAGTTAGAGGATCTGCTTGTTAAATAGGAAAAAGAGTAAATTGGCGAGAAGATGGCACAATGGAGCCTGATTATAATGGAGGTCTTGTCATGAAAGTAACGGTTTAAAATGAAAACCGCCACGCTGAGGTTACCATTGTAACTAAACGTCTCACCTATGGCCTAGAGGGTTGGTGTGAAGTTCCAGCATTACCTTAATGTTTCATCAACCAATCTTTTTCATTTTAAAACATTCCCTTGACTCTGTCTTTCTCTAGTTCCCTCCATATCCTTCTCTTTGAAACTGATCTTTTGGAAAGAAAGATTTATACTCAATTTCTCTATGACATCATTTCCTGTTCACTCATTGGCCACTTTTTCACTTGAACCCAATAGGTTCTTACTTTATTTGAACCAGTTCTTATCCTACGTTGCTTTTTTTCCTACAGTATTGACCTCCTCACCATAATCCTTCTTTGCATGGCTTCAGAGTCGTGCCTCTTCAGTTCCCTCTGTCATCTCAGTGGCTATTCCAGATCAATTCTGTCATAGCTCTCATTCCTTTAGCCACCTCTTAAAATGTGATTTTTTGTGCGTGATTTTATTCTTAACCTTTTCTTTGGTCTGCAATTTTCTCCGTGTGATCTCATTTATTCCTAGGGCTTCAACTACCACCCATAGGGTAATGACTCCAGAATTCTATCTCCGGCTCGGATCTCTCACCTGAGCTCCGGATCCACATATTCATATACTCATCTTGGACGTCCCACAAGTTTCTCAAGTTAACCATGTCCAAAATTGAATTGCTCACCCTCCTCTTGCCCATAAGCGCTTCCTTCTTCCCTATTTCGGTGTGAATTGTACCATCAATCTAGTTGCACAAGCAGAACACATAGAAATGATTCCGGGACTTTCCCTTTGCTGCCTCATCCACCTCACCACCAATAAGCTCTCTATGGAGTCCATCCACTTCTTTTAATCATCACTACTTCTACTTTGGCTTAGATTCTTATCATTTTTCACCTAGAATAATACAATGACCTCTTTGATCTCCATGACACTAAACTTGTCTTTTTCTTATTTGTCTTCCACATTATTGCCTAGAATGATTTTTTACAATATGTTCCTCCCTTGTTATGAAAACTCTTCTTTGAATCCCCATAATCTCCATGACGGTCAAAATTTTTTAGCATGGCATATAGACCTTTATGTCTTCTGGCCTTTTATAACCTTTTCAGTTTTCTCTTGTTCTTTGAACTCTATGTGGTAGCCATTCTCAGCAGGTTGAAGTTGAGGTCCCCTAAAGCATCCTGTTTGCCTTTGTCTCTAGACCATCCTGCAGGTAGTGTATTCTTCCCCGCATTTCTCATAGGAGTCCCTCAGCTCAGAGTTTTCCCAGACTACCTCACTTATCCTTTCTGGGTTTGGATTTTAATGCTCTTTCTCTGTGCTCCTATAGCATTCTGTGTTCACCAATATAACAGAATAATTACATTCTTAAAGTAGTAATCTATTTTCTGCCTCACTGGAATAAGAGCTTCTTGGAGCCACTAAGGGACCATATCCATCTTTGCATCCCTAGACTGGGCACCTAATTGCAAAGTGATAAATGTCTGTAGAATGAATGAGTGAATGAATACAACATTGAGTAAATGTTCTCTCTCCCTTGCCTTCTTGTGACTTTACTTGAAATCCATTTCTTCCCAATGTGAATGGTCTTATATTATTTTATTTCAGTGTTCTGGCAATGAGTTTATGATCCAGACAGTCAACAACTCCAGTCAAGGCTTTTGTGGGACTGTGGGATCCAGAGTCAAAAATGGAGGACAGGAAGCCATTGAAATGACGAAAGGAGGGCACCAGACCTTGGAATCGTCCTGCGGGGCCGGACATCATCACACCCTGGATTCCTGCAGGGGAGGACACGTGGAGACGGACAACTGCAGATACACTTGCTCAGAGTGGTATAATTACACCCAGTCCCGACTTGGTGAAGTGAGTTTCCCTAAGTGATTTGACCCCGCAATTTAAATGTCCAAGTAGAGAACAATAGGAAATTGAAATTAGCATATATTTTTCAGAAACTACTTTTCTGTGTTCTTCAATGTGTCTTCTTTCTCTCTCACTCTCTGGCTATTTTGTTCTCTGCTCTTTGATTTTGTTACATTATTTAATATAAAAGGGATTTTACTTCATCTGTCGTATTTCTTTTAATTCCTAAGATCTCATGAAAATTGGAGGTTTCTAATATCCCTCACTAAAGTTACATTTCATTTTTAGGTATGTGTTTACCTCATGAACTCTTTTAATAAATAAAGAAGAATATGAAAAAAAATCTCATTCCTCACAATCACAAAACTCTGCAAATCAAATCTGCATTTCTCTGTGAAAACAAAGCATCTGTACACAATTCTAGGATGAACATTAAATAATATGATCTATATGAACTATTTTTAACGTAAAAAGCACCATGCAAAGATAAAGTATTTTTATTCAGAAGAAAGCAAGGATGAGAAAGGAAGGAGTGGTTAAATAAGGGGCTTTCAATCCTGGCAGCACATCAAAATCTCCTGGAGAGCTTTTAAAAAATGCTAATCCCTGTACTCCACCTTGAAAGAGACTGATTTCATTCGTTTGGCTTTTTTTGTTTTTTTAAAGCTCTTCAGGTGATTCAGATGTGCAGCCCAGGTAGAGAACCACTGGATTAAATATTCTTTCTGGTACTAAGTTTTCACTTCTTTTATCAGAGGGTTTCAGTACCATTGTAACAGAAACACTGCACCAGAAGCCCTTAATCCTTTGATGGGCTGCAAATGGGCAACATTCCATGACACGGCTGTAGCTTATTATATGCCCATAGCATAATTTTTTTTTGTCAAATTCAAGTGTTAATCCTTTCTCTGTTTCTAGACAGTCAGTATCATATCAGATCAGGTTGAGAAGGAGTGAGGCTTAAAAAGCACTCTTAGGAGTGTTATTCAATGTGCACATCACGTAATGGGATGTGAGGCTAAAATGGCCATGAAGAAAGACACCCGATAATGTAAGCCAAGGAAACAAGCTCTGGGTTAGAGAGGGATTGGGCACACAGGTGAGAAAGGGAGGAGGCACAGGAGTTGACAAATCGACAGACGGGCCAGTGACAGATAGTGAGGGTAGATGTGGCTGTATGCTTGGCTTCTCTATTCTAAAGGCCCAGTTTTTGCAACGTGGGTTATGTTGATTATTTTTAATTTCCCTGTGCATCTCTCATTTTGTCATGTTTTGGCTATCTTGGAAACTCGATTCTGAAGCCAATGCGACAATTCTTACCTAGTTTATAAATGCATATAATAGCAATTTTGGTTAACATTATTAAACATTTGCTATATGCTGGGCATAATAAGGGTATTTTTCATGCATTCTTATTTTGTCATTTAATAACAATCTTGTGAGACAGTCACTGTCTGTATTCCCATTTTAGATGTAAGGAAAGTGAAACTTAAAGATGTTTGGTAACTTTCTCAAAGTCATAAAGCTAGCTGGTAAAGCCAGAGCTATGACTCAAAATCAGGACTGTTTGACTATCCAAGCTCAAATTCTTAACCACTTTGCGTATTGTCACCATGCTGTGGACTAGCCTGGACACTAAATATAAAATTTAGGAATAAGCATTTAATGATGATTTAAATGTACTTATATATATTTGTATATATAATTTTTTATTTGTATAAATGATTAGAAATGTAAAATATACTGACTTTATGGTATGGTTGTGATATCGACCAATCATGTGCATTTTTTGTGTGTAGGACCCCATTAGAGGACACACTGGTTAAAAATTAAACATAAAAGGTAAATAAAAAAATAAATTTTGTGTTCATATGTTTGTGTGTTTAAAACAATAATACAATTCTTTTTCGTATTTTACAGAAATTGCATCTATGTAATCAGAGCGAAAACCACATGCCGTCTCAAGATTATGTCCTTTCATACAACTATGAAGGAAGAGGATCTCCAGCTGGTTCTGTAGGTTGCTGCAGTGAAAAGCAGGAGGAAGATGGCCTTGACTTTTTAAATAATTTGGAAGCCAAATTTACTGCATTAGCAGAAACATGCACAAAGAGATAACGTTGAAGTGCTACAATTAGGCATGTCTTTGCCAGACATTCTGGAGGATTCCAAAAGGGATATCGTAAAATTCAATTTCAATTTCTAATATATATATATGAATATATATAACAGTTTTTCTAAATTGTGAATTGTGCTATTTACCAATTTGTATTTTTATAGCAATTTGTTGCTTATCTTTTCCAAGAAGTTTAAAACGTTAAAACGTATTTTGCCTTTTTTACCACTGAGTACAAAGACAACTAGCAAATCTCATGCTGTAGCGCTAAATTAAGGCCTATAAAGGATCTGCTCTCCTTTACAGATATTTTCCTAATAAATATGTTGGGTAAATATTAGTCCAACAATAGGTAAGCTGTGCATGTTTGAATATAGCAGAACAGCTATCTGGGCTAGAAATTCTCTTCTTGTTCCAGATTTAGATTTAAGTGGAATAGGATTATATCAAACACTATGACAAATGATGTTGGATGTTTTAGTTCTAAAAACTCAGTAGCCCCTAAGACTACTAGAATTTTGTTTTCGTTCTGGTTAGCAACAAGATCATGAAGAGTAGTCTTATCTACTCGATTGCTCTAGTAGGGTCTCAAAAATACATAGCCACAACTTGAAACTATACTAGGAAAGTGTAGACCGAAAATTTGTGTTGTTTTTATGTTTTTGAAAGTGTGTTTTATGGTTTACAAAACGATTATTATGAGGAATATGTCTGTTTCCTTATTCTCAAAAAACAAAACTATATTCACCATACAGAGAGTTATTGCCAATATTTTAAATGGAAAAATACTAAGATCTTCTATTGAGATTGTAATCACAAGTCTTAACATTTTTTCTCCCTGAGATTCACGACTGCTGTTGATAACTCGCCTGTAATGAAAATTATGCTGAGAAAAAGCTGCTTTTCTTCTCTGGGATATTGTACTTTCATATTTCCATTTGTGAGCTTAACACGTATGACTTTATTTTCTCTCAGTGGTAGTCATTTGCGATTAGAGTATGTTATCTTGAGGTGGATGTGGTTATGCTATGTAGTCTGAATAAACAAACTCCCATGATAGTTTTGGGTAGCAACGAGGGATAAGCGTGCATTTCCATTCACTATCATTATCAAATAAAATATATTGCTCCTTATTAAGCAGGTAAATATTACAAAATGCTGTAAAGAACCAAAAGAATGTAGTGAAACTTAACCCCTAGGTGCAATTTAATACCTTCCAAGATGTTGCTTGAATTTAGTGCTTCTCAAATTTGTTCATGCGATAGAACCCCTGGAAGGCCTTGCAAAATACCCCATAGCAATGCTGTTTAAACTCAAAATAACTAATATCTAATCTTATGATAAATCTAATATCACATTATCGTATACTCATTTCAAGTGACAGTATAAAAAATAGACAACAAATATTTGGTATCACTAGTTGAAGAAGATTTTGGAAGAGAAACAATTAAGACTAAATTAACATAAAAATTTTGCAGCTATAAAGAATTGAGACTTGTTCCCTAACCCCTCACCCCACCCCCAAAAATTTGACTTTGGAGGCTGAATTTATTGAGCTAGCCCATGAAGTGGCAATGTTCTGTAAGAATGTAGTTTGAACTGACTGTATGTACACACATACACATATGTGACAATCAATGCAACATTTAAAATGAAATGAAAAACAAAGGAGATGATAATCATTTAAAATGAGGCTGGAGTCTGTCCTACAATGGAAATAGAGTGTTTAAAAAAGAGAGAGCCTCTCATGCTTAGTTCTTATGTGTTGCATGATGACTAAGAATAGCAGGAAATACTTCATGTACATTTGTGTAATTTGTTTAAGACTGCATACAGCTAATTAAACTTTTTTGGTTTCAGTGGAAAGAAAAGAGGGAACCAGGTGGAGCAGTAGATTTGCCTTGCAGTCTATTTCTGCATCCACAGATTGGGTGCAAACTGGTGAATGGCTATCACAGCTGGGGTTTCCTGACTTCTGGTGGCTAGGTTCCAGAGATGAAATGTTTTTTCAGGGAGCTATTACTAAAAACTTTATGTAAGCTAATTCTGGTGAAAATAAATCATCTATCACCATTTTCTTTCTCTCTCCTACCAACCAACATTTTAAAAAAATTTAGAGCCAAATAACCATGTCCTCTTGGTCAGATTTTAGAGGATAAAGGGAGCTGAGGGGGGGCAAATCTTACTGAAAGGATTGAGTGGGGCCTGACTGTCTTGAGACCGAAGCCCACAAACCTGTCACTGTTTGCACTGTGTTCTAATCAGAGCCTGGGAACTGTAAAATGTCATTTTCATACTCACTGCTCTGTTTTTTTTTATTTTTTATTTTTGTGAGGAAGATCAGCCCTGAGCTAATATCTGCCAATCCTCCTCTTTTTTTTTTGCTGAGGAAGACTGGCCCTAGGCTAACATCCATGCCCATCTTCCTCTACTTTATATGGGATGCCGGCCACAGCATGGCTTGACAAGCGGTGTGTTGGTGCACGCCCAGGATCTGAACCGGCGAACCCTGGGCCACCACAGCAGAGCGTGTGCACTTAACCACTTGTGCCACCGGGCCAGTCCCCTCACTGCCCTGTTTTAAAGTAGTACTAGTGTGATTGAAGGAAATCCAGCCCACCTATCAGGCCCCCAAATCTCTCTCCCAACGTTGTCAATAACACTTAGGTGGCAAAAGACTCCAGGCTGTCAATCACCCTTTAGTATTAATTAATTTTTATGAGATTGATTTCTTACGAGGATTTTTAAAATAATAAAAGAAATAGGAATTTTGAATAGAGGAAAGAAAAAGATAAAGTGGTCATTTGGGGACACAGGGAACTTTGGGAGAGTACAAGCTCAATTGGGTTATTTGGACAGTCAGAGAACAACATGAAAACTCAGGCCTTCAAGGGCAAGGAGAGAGGCCAACAAAGGAACGTGAGGGGTAGTAAAGGCAACATTATTTGCTATTTAATTTTTCCTAGGCTAGGCCCTTCCTTTTCCTTCTTGTTTCTAGCCTGTGGCAGCTGCATTTGATTTTGGTGAAGTATCACCAACCCTTCCTCCCCACCTCACCTTATTTGGAGTGTGGAATCGAGAAGAGAGCTGACTGCGTGGAGTCTAAGGTATTTACAGAATGGGCCTGAACCGGTTGTGCAGAACAAACAAGGCATTCAGAGGGAATGTTTATTCCTTATGGAGCCCTCTGGGCACTAAGATAGAAGGTTTTCAATTAAATGTGTGTCTAAAATTTTTTATTTGATGCTACATTTTCTGTTTTCTAATTTGCCCTGAAATCTAGATTTTTAGACTTATTCTTTTGAAAGGGTAATTTTCCTTTTAAAGTCTTCTTATTTTTAACATGTAGTATTCTTCTTTCCTTATATGTGTAAGGTGAAAATTATGCTGTTTTAGTGTGAAAGAAAATATCTTTTTAAAGCTTTCATTTTTTTCCAGCAAATGCTCTTGAATTTTAAAGTAAACGTACAGATTGTTTTTTCTTATTTTTATAAAGAAGCAGTTAACTGTCTGAAATGCAGTAAGGTTTGTTTTGCAACATTTCTAACAGAGCTTTAATTTTGCTATTAAAAGAAGTTACTTTGCTTTTAAAGAAACATGGCAGCTTAAAATAAGCAAAAATCGGATGTGTAAAGTAGTATTTACAGATATAGGATGTAATAAAACAATGTTCACTTGATTTCTTGTCTTTGCTGTGTTCAGAGATTAAATGATTCTAAGGTGATCATATTGAAAAATTGTGCTTAAGGCTGGCATGGAAATAGAGATCCTCTGTAATGTCATCGTTGTATTACTGGCGGATATTTTAGAGATCAGGTCATTATCAAATTGTCAACATCGTTAATATATATCATACTGTTTGGAGGGAGGTTGCCATTTGGAGCACAGCTTTATAAACAGTATCTATCTGTCTCTATCTCTATATCTATCTATCTATCTATCTATCTATCTATCTATCTATCTACCTGTCTATCTATCTTATTTTGATTGGGCAAAGAAGTATTAGAAGGTGGTTGTAATTGCAGAGTGTTCCAGAAATAACACACTGATAAAGGATTCTTATTTGGAGAAGCAGTGTAGTCAAAGGGAAACATTATGAGTTTTTAAAAAAAAAAACAAGCAATATTCCAATCTTGGTTCTGCCACTTACAGGGTATATGACCTCTGAGTTTTAATCATAACCAAATTATGTGCTGTGTGCTCAGTGCAGATCTTTTCCCTGTGTGTGTGTGTGTGTGTGTGTGTGCGCGCGCGCGCATGTGTATGTGTGTGTGTGTGTGTGTGTGCGCTTCCCACAAATGTAAGGCTGACCATTTCAAAAATTTGAGTTGTATCAAAGCTTTAAATTTTAATATAATATGAACTGCAATTTCAATTTCAGGAACTTTTATTGTGATCATTATTTCTGTCTGCAAATATTTGGCTTTAAGAATGTTTGCTAAATTTCTGTTTGTGATAGCAAAACATTGGATAGATTCCAGGTGTCCGGCAGAATGGGTTTGGTTAAATATTGGGTCATAGTGGTTGAGAAGAGTAGACTCTAGAGGCCTACTGTTTGAATGTGAATCCTGGCTCTGTGACTTAATGTCTATATGACTTTAGAAAGGCTACTTATCCCCTGTGTAAGTCCTAGTTTTCTCATCTTTAAAATCAAAATAACAATTCCAGCCGCATGGGGTTGTTGGAATGATTAAATGGGTTAATATATTTAAAGCACATAGAATATTGCTTGTACATAGCAAAAGATTTATAAGTGTTAGGTATATAGGCAGTAAAATTATATAGTTGAATATACCACAAGACAATATCTAATCTCTTTTTTTTCCTAATTTTTTTTTTTTTTTGTGAGGAAGATTAGCCCTGAGATAACATCCGTTGCCAATCATCCTCTTTTTGCTGAGGAAGATTGGCCCTGGGCTAACATCCATGCCCATCTTCCTTTACTTTATATGTGGGACACCTGCCACAGCATGGCTTGATAAGTAGTGTGTAGGTAGGTCTGCGCCCGAGATCCGAACCTGCGAACACCGGGCCGCGGGAGTGGAACGCACACACTTAACCCGTACGCCACCAGCCCGGCCCCAACATCTAATCTCTTTTTAACAAAAAGTTTTATGCTTATATAGAGAAAAAAGGAAGACCTTAACAGATTCTCTCCAGACGATGGAATTATGGTTGATTTATATTTTGTGTTTATTTTCTACAATGAACATTGGTAACATTTTTAATTTTTTTTTTAAAAGGATTAAACATTTGTTGAAGGTAGATCTCATGTTACGTGTTTTCACCACATTGAAAAACAAACACATACTTCCCTTTAAGATAAACTGTTTACAGTGTTCTTCGGGCCAGGTGAGTTCCATGAGTCCTCAAGGTAGGAGAGGCTTGGTGTTCTGTCTTCGCCTCCTGCTCCCAGTGTCCTTGGCTCCTTTTCAAGCATCTACAAGAGAGTGGAGGACACATCCTTCAGTCACTCAGATCTCTTCTGTGCCTGAGCGCAGCCAGAAGACCCCTGGGGCTGCACAACTAGGTGGGCAGTGTCAGAGAAGCACATTGTTGCTATTACATATGACTTCCAAAGCAGAAGGATCTTCAGAAGCCAATTTGAAAAATGCTCCACATTGGCAGAAATGCTTGCAACCTATCTCTTCTGTAATCATTCTCCATCTCCAGTACACAATGCAAACATAGTGGGAGGAAAATATAGACTTTGGATATTATCAGCCAGTATTTTACATCAGGCCAAGCTAATAGATGCAATATGTTTCCAGAAGAAAC